AAATATGAGCTATTCATCAATGCCCAACCAATGCAAAGAAACACATCAAGTTTGATGTAATTAGGGTTTATAGATGGGGTTTATATTCATCATAATGGAAAAAGACAAAGAAATATAAGATTTCTGAAGTTTATTTTGGTTAGATCAGGGGTAGGCAAGTTCGGTCCTAGAGAGCCGCAGTCCTGCAGGGTTCAGCTCCAACCCTAATCAAACACACCTGAACAAGCTAATCAATGTCTTCAGGATTACTAGGGCTATAGGCAGGTGAGTTTTGTTTTCAGGGTTGGAGCTGAACTCTGCAGGACTGCGGCTCTCTAGGACCGAACTTGCCTACCCCTGGGTTAGATTGACATACACATCCATGAGAATCCAGGAATTTACTTCTTGGAGGTCAAAGGTGGTCTGAGCACTAAGGATCTGACCAATGCAGTCACAAACTGCAGGAAGACAAATGTGATGATGACCAGAAAGTGTTCACTGAGTGACACCGATTTACAGTAACAAAGTGACATGAATCATTCATTTACAGTTAGAGTGTAGGAACTTAATCCTACTTGTCAAATATCATTATTTTTCAGGTATCAAATGGCTACTTCGTCCACTACTTTGCACCTACAGATATTCAGCGCATTCCCAAAAATGTGGTGTTTATCATTGATGAAAGTGGCTCCATGTCGGGCAAAAAATAGAGCAGGTGAATTTGTTTTTTCTTCTTGTTTGTTTCTTCTTTGGGTTTTACTTGGTGAACTGTTGACGTTTTTAAGAGTTCAGTTTTGAATAACTTCAATGATTTTGGTACAACTTTAATCACTGAACCTACCACATTGATATGTTTGCCATATATTTAATAATATTATTATATAAATTGATTTTTCATCTTACTTCCTTATGCCAGATTCTTACCTACTTTCAGCCATATTACGATTACACAACTCAGAAACCTCTGACAACCTCTCCTCCATGTATGTGGGCCATGTGTGTATTAATTTTATATAGTGCAGTATCTGACATCATATGTCCCTATTTTCATTCTTTCATTCGATTTTTGTCCTTCAGTGAGGAGCATTAGGATCTTGAAATCTTCTGGTAATGCTAAGCCACTTTGCTATGATGTCCCTCTTGCTCAGAAAGTCAGACTCCAACAGAATGTCCTATCAGGTCAGATATCCATTCTAGTACAGTTTGTATTATAAACAGTAATATTACATTGCTTTCATTTATTCATGTGTATTTAAGCAGTGTAATGTTTGTCTATAATCAGAGTTCTTTATGAATGGGCAACATGAGTCATTTGCAGGAGAAGGCTTCAGTCAAAGCTCAATTCATTACAAAACTAATCACCACCTGCTGCTCAGCACTAATGAAATTAACTACACTGATGGGCAGGAAACTCTGAAGTTTTCATGGGAGCAAGACCTCACCCACCATGAGAGAGAAAAGTAATATGCTTGAACAGTGGAGTTTGTTGAAAAGATTTTTTATGAATTAAATATTTTTTTTTTTTGCATTTTCATTTAGAGAATTTACCAAACGCTCTGGAAAGAAAAAAAAGAGTTTCTGTCTCCTTTTTAGACAGTTATTTTGTGATATTGAGGTAGAATTCATTCATCATTTAAAGGGATAGTTCATTTTAAAATGAAAATTCTGTCATTAATTACTCACCCTCATGTTGTTCCAAACTCGTAAGACCTTCGTTCATCTTCATGAAATCCGAGAGCTTTCTGACCGTAGGCAGCAATGCAACTACCATGTTCTAGGCCCAGAAAGGTAGCAAGGGCATTGTTAAAATAGTTCATGTGACATCAGTGGTTCACCTGTAATTTTGTGAAGCTACGAGAATCCTTTTTGTGCACAAAGAAAACAAAAATAATGACTTTATTCAACAGTTCTTCTCTTACGTGTCAATCTCCGCTGTGCATTTACGAGAGTACCACGACGCATGCGTGTCAAAGTCTGACATTTTTGTTTTCATTGCGCACAAAAAGTATTCTCGTAGCTACATAAAATTACAGGTGAATCACTGATGTAATGGACTGTTTTAACAATGTCCTTACTACCTTTCTGGGCCTTGAACTTGGTAGTTCCATTGCTGTCTATGGAGGGTCAGAAAGCTCTCGGATTTCATCAAAAAATATCTCAATTTGTGTTCCGAAGATGAACGAAAGTCTTACGGGTTTGGAACGACATGAGGGTGAGTAATTAATGACAGAATTTAATTTTTTGGGGGTGAACTATCCCTTTAAGACTCGTTCACACCAAGGACGATAACTATAATTATGAAGTTTTAACGTTCTAACTCTGTGACTTGTTGGAATCACTTTCAGAATGAGATTTTCCAGCTGATGAATGATAACAGTGAGAGCTGGAGCGTTTAAAGCGGCAGACGACAAAACTGGAGCGCGCACTAATAAACAGAACGCTATCGTCCGTTGGTGTGGAGTGTGTGGACGCTAATAGTTATTAATATAAAGTATTGTCTTTATAGTTATCATTCTTGGTGTGAACGGGCCTTTTATTGTTTCATCAGCGTGCCTCTGATTCTACGGAGCAATGAATTTGATGTTGCCATGGGAAACATCCGCGTTGCTATTCTTCTTCATTAAAAAGACGGTGACATTTTTCTGTGGCCTGCCATTTGGCAACAACCAAAAGATGTCGGTTTGATGGGTATTTTAGGTAAGAGAGTCACTGTACTGATACTTCCGTACTGATACCAAAGATGGTCTGTGAGTGAAGATATTGTGGTTATTAAACCAGCACTGTGGATAATATTTTAAGGAGAGGCTGGTATTTCATATGATGAGATCCCAGGATCACAAACACCAACTTTAAAGATAAAGGACAAGGAAGTGAAGACATCTTGGTAAGTGATCAATAAATATACACTGCCAGTCAACAGCTTGGCATAATTAAGATAAAAAAAAAATTCATAATAAAATAAAGAATTTTCTAATGCTCACAAGGCTGCATTTATTTGATAAAAACAGTAAAACTGATATATCGTGCAATATTATTATAATGTAAAATAACTGTTTTCTATTTTCATATATTTAAAATGTAATTTATTCCTGTGATGCCAAAGCTGAATTTTCATTATCATTACTCCAGTCTTCAGTGGCATGTGATCCTTCAGGTGTTTAGTTATTGAAATTTTAATTATTACAAACTTTTGACTGGTAGTGTGTCCATATAGTTGAATTTCTATAAAAAATGCATACATTTTTAAGTAAGTGTGTTGTTATTTCAGGGTGATGGTGAAGGACTGCAGACTTGCTTCTGCTCCTGTGGTTGGATGTCCAGGCTGTCACACAGCGGGAGCTCTCTGAGTTAAGCAAAAAAAGAGAAAGATTATCCATTATTGTGCTGACCTTTCCAATAATAACATATTCTTTATATCGACATTGTTAATCAAATAGTTATACAATTGTCTTCTAATGGCAAATAGTAGGGGCATGACCAAGTTATTTTCATCTTTAGCATGCTTTGAATACCACGTCTGTTGCACTGTCTTTGAATGTTTATGAATGTGTTTTTCTTTGCTCACACAAATGCACCTGGGCTTTAACGGGCAACCCATGTGATAAAATAGCAATTGAAATTGCAAACCAAAATTATCTATACATCGTAACCGTTTGATTGATGCCTCTGTAAGCATTGATTGTGATAATTGCTGGAAAATATGTATTTTTTTGTGGTCCTGCCTGAAAATATATTAAAAGCACAACACCAAGCTTCTACAGAATGTATTTACAAATTATATAGATAATATATTTTCTTGAAAAGCATGCCTCGATATTGAGTTACGTGGTGTTCAAGAGACTCTCATTGCAAATAAAGGGGGAGGTTTCTTCGTCTGGTCAATAATAGCCAATAGCATGCTGTGGACTTGAGTTTAAAGGCAGTGTGTGTTTTGAGGTCAGTTTCCTGTGCAGGTCATGATGGATCGAGCAGCTCTCCGGCTGATTCTCTTGGGCGTCTTACTCATCTCAGCCTCTTCAGACCCTGTTAAGAAGGTGAGGGGCAAATTTTAGTTTAAGATGAAGAAGACAAAATTCTTAAATACTCTACCAAATCAGGGTAAAACAACATATTTATATCGTTATTTGAGATAAAGGTCTAGACTCCAGACAAACTAGATATACTTCATACTTGTTGAATATACACTATTGTTCAAACATTTAAATCAGATTTAAATAATACTAATAATACTTTTAATCATTAAATTGATCATAAGTGACCATAAAGATAATTATTATGATGAAACATGTCTAGGTCAAATAAATGTTTTTTTTTTTGTTTTTTTTTTCTTTCATATTCATAAAGAAATCCTGAAAAAACATAACATTTCAGCAAAAAATATTAAGCAGCACAACTGTTTGCTACATTAATTAATACACAATGTTTCTTGATCAGCAAATTGGCATATTAGAATGATTTCTGAAGGATCATGTGACAGAACACTGGAGTAATGGCTGTTTTTACAAAATTACTGTTTTCATATGTATTTTTGGTTTAATAAATGTAGCCTCAGTGAGCATAGAATTTTTTCAAATACATCAAAAAAAAATTTTAGTTCCCAAACTTTCGAACAGTAGTGTATCATGTATTTTGATATTTAATATGATTTAGCTTGTTGTATATTCTGTCTTTTTTCTTAACAAAACCACAATGCAATGTACGAAACCAGCTAGTTATTCTCAACTGCTTGGTTTATCTGTTTAGACATTTTCATTTTGATTATGTCTATAACGCCATTGTTGACAGAAAAATGCAGTTTGAGTCGACAGAACCATCTATTGCGCAACTGTGTACACTGAGATACAGTCATCAAAACGTATTTGTCTTTCAGTCCAAAGGCCTTTTCTCCATGCCATTTTTGAGCAGTAAATATTTGAGCAATCCTATGTGAAAAGGAGGAGTAAATGTGCACCAGCCAATCACGTTGACCATACTTTAAAGGCAGAGTGAGGGATTTCTGGTAGCCAATGTTTATAACCTTCATCAGCAAATTCAGAATGTAGGTGAACATGAGTAGTGTTAGGCCTATATAAGTAGAAATAAAGAGGTAAATAAGCCATTTATAGCATGTGGGCGTCAGATCAGGTAAATCTTATAATACAGTCAAACAAGAACAAAATAAAGATTTAGAAATTATACCTTCTACTAGTCCAAGAATAAATAACTTGCATGTACTTTTTAAAGTACAAGATATAGTAGCTAACAGTACAGATGCTTTAATACAAACAAACTTATTTAGTGGTGCTACCATTTGAGTGAGATGGATATTTTTTAAATGAAATACACACAGTTTAAGTTTCTGGTATATTAAGAGAACATCAGTGTCACTTTCTCCATAGGACCATCGAGGGAAAAACATATGATGGGGTTGTGAAGGAAAAAGAGGAAGCTCAACAGCAATACAATCAAGCAGTATCTCGAGGACAAAGTGCTGGACAGATCAAGTATGGGACATTTAAAAATATATAGGTCCATAAAAATATCAATTTATAGTATAATTAGTAGTATGTTGGTATCTGTTTATATTTCAGATCTGTTGGAAGGACTTTAGAGGACTTTAAAACCTCAGTGACAGTGGCTGCTTTTAGTAAAGTGACCTTTGAGTTGACCTACGAGGAACTGCTAAAGCGTCGCCTCGGCAAATATGAGCTACTCATCAATGCGCAACCAATGCAGCCAGTGGCTGACTTCAAAGTAATGGAAGAAATTAAGAAGAAATTAATAATCAATTTTAAGGTATAGTTAGATGATGTTTCTTTTCCTCACATTAGATGGATGTGCACATCCAAGAGAAACCAGGAATTTCCTTCTTGGAGGTGAAAGGAGATTTGAGCACCGGTGATCTGGCAAATGCCATCAAAACCACCAGAGCAGACAAAGATGTAAGAACTTAAATGAGGGTTTAAACACAGTTTAGATGTTCTCAATATACTCATACACTTAAATAGTTACCAGATGAACAAACTGATAATTTTAGGCATGGGTGACCTTATACCCCACACGAGATCAACAGACCAAGTGTAAAAGCTGTGGAGAAAATGGGTTGAATGGTGACCTGCTCATAACATACGATGTGGAGAGACGAAATCCCAAAGGAGAAGTCATGGTACATTTTAAATAACATGCTTTAAAAAGTAAAATAATATGACAAAAACAGAAAAATTTTGAAAGACTGGAATTTTTCTGTTCTCTCAGGTGTCAAATGGCCACCATTCCCAAAAATGTGGTGTTTATCATTGATCGGAGTGGTTCTATGCACGGCAGAAAAATAGAACAGGTAAATGTCAACGTTTCAGCCAAATCAAAAGCATATAATGAGCTATGAAATGTTTTGACGGTAAAACCCTTGAACCCTTGACCCACTCTTGGAGGATATTGCAGCATTTTGCATTTTCATGTTAAAAGGACAGGGATTTCTGTATTGAAGTCAGTGTGAAGTTGCCTTCTTTAAAGTAGTAACAAACTGTCCATGTCTATTAAATGTGAGTATGCAGTCTTAATGAAGAAAGAATAACTTTCAGATGTGCTGTCATTCTTTAGACTCGATTGGCACTGCTAAGGATTTTGAGTGATCTTGATGAGGATGACCACTTTGGATTGATCACCTTTGACAGTGAAGTTAACTTATGGAAGCGTGAGCTCCTCAAAGCTACTGAGGCAAATCTGAAGAATGCGAAATCTTTCGTGAATGAGATCACAGATAGAGGAGGTGAGTTACAGCACTAATGCTACATAAGGAGTAAAAAAGTTGTACCTCACAGTGACACAACTATGTTTGGTCTTCCTTTAGCCACGGACATAAATGCTGCAGTTCTAGCAGGAGTGGACATGATCAATCGACATCCACGAGAGGGAACAGCCTCCATCCTGATCCTGCTGACTGACGGAGATCCTACTTCAGGCACAGAAACACTGATACATACAAACACTCACTTCCCACATTTAGCTGTCTAAAGGAAAAGCTGCATCAGAAACATTAATGTTGTCAGTCAGCACGTCTTGTGTTTTTGCACTTTTATGAATATGTGATATATTCTTTCTCACTTTGTGATTCCTATGCATTGTCATACAAAATCAAGCATACCTAAATAATAATTGTTTGTAATGCCTGATCAAAAAAACAGTCAAAAATACAATTTATACTGTTTAAAAAATACAGCGGGTATGTTTCAGACATTACACAATAGCATTTTTGTGACTGTATTTTTTCCATAATTTTTTTCCATAAATGAATTTTACGAAAAAAAAATAGTACTTTTAAATGTTTGATTGTTCACTTAACAGATTTTTACAAGAGCATTTTTGCGTTGTTTTTCTGATAAAATTGAGGTTAGGATGTCAATGGAAGTTCCCTTTCAGTCGGTCACTCTCGATGTCACGTCGGATGACTGACGAATTGGGGATCTCGCTTAGAGAGACCAATCTATTTCGAGTGTAAACTAAACGAGCCAATGCACATTGGCATGCGATTATTGCATCCAGCTGCCGCTGATCACAACGTGAGTATAAGTAGGCAGCAGATGCAGCGCATATTCAGCTTTTCGCTTCGGAGCCGAGCGGTTCTATCGTTCTGCTCCTGACCTTCTACG